TAAAGTTCTATAGAGTATTTAATGCTCTTTTGTCATTTCTCATCCTATTTTTATGTTAATTGTGTAAAGACGTTATTTACGTTTATTCTTTAGGGACACAAGGAAACTGATTACAAAGAAACATCGGTAAGTGGTGACTAAGTAATATTTATAATATCGGTTCACTGCATGACGTACAGGTTATATAAACAAATGAAACATTAAAACATCCCTTCAACTGTATGAGCCACCGCTAATAGCTGTAGAGATTGGTTATGTGAACACGGAAGAAACTATGAAGTTGTTTTGTTGAATTTTCCAAAACTTCACCAAACATGACCTTTGGGGATAAACTTAGACTTAAACAAACTAGGTATATATTTATGTCATTTACATATATAGAGTGACCTTTAGAAGGTCAGATCTTGGTAGAATACTACAGAAAAGACATATAAATAATTGAACTCAAAATGCAGCTAACACCCTATTTCTGATACATTTTATTTTAAGTTAATGAAATGATAATATAAATAACTGTTCAGTTTTGCTAGTAAGATTACTATTTAATTGACGGATTAGCAATTTTTGCAATTGCGTCTTTATTTTCTCACGACATTACATATTTCTTATTATTGAAATTTATTATTAACTTTTATAGCACCTATCTCATGACTTTGCATATTTCTTAATTCAGGAGTGTGTTATTAAGTTTTATAACACCTGTCTCATATCTTTACATATGTCTTATTATTGGAATTTATTATTAAGCTTTATAGCTTCTGTCTCACATTTTTTACATATTTCTCATTTCAGGAGTGTGCTCTTAAGCTTTATGATACCTGGAAACATGGACACGCGTAAATTACAAACCTGGCGTTTTTTACTTCCGTTTAAATCAGGCTATAATTCAACGTGTTACATTAAACGGATTTTGTATTACCATGGTTTTGTCATTGAACATTCAAATAAAGGTATTGTGAAGTAAAGTAGTTGTTATTCAATATGATGTGTGTGTGTGTGTGTGTTATTCTAGTAATTCTTAAAACATTGGCAAACTATGAAGTTTTCTCAACTAACAATAGTTCTAAACTAAGGGATCAGAAAAACAAGATTTAGGAAACAAATTAATGAGAATTCAATAATTAACTAAGTATGTAGTACCAAAAGTTGCTTAAATTCTCTCTTTCTCTTTTTGTAATCACGTTCATGTAAATGAATGCGTTTAAATATTCGTTAAAAGGAAACATATCTGGCACCACCTGACCAAAAAGTTGGAGTCTGAACATTGTTCTCTGTTGTAAACGTCACCAAGTACGAAACTGTACAAAGCTTTAGTTTTAAAATCTGAATCTGCTGCTGCTTATCATCCTTATTTCATACGAGAGAAAACAGTTCAATATCTGATGTCACTTTTAAAAGTAGTCTTTCAATGTATTTTAGTTTGATTTATGAGTTTGATCCTTACTGCTGACTGCAATGAAATATTGAGTGAAAGTTTCTTTATATTTATAACAACAGTGACTACAGTTTTCATGTACTTCATTTCCGTTATGTGTTACTGATATCATTTGTCTTAGGATTTAATTTATTTTAAAACACTCTAGAAACTCGGTATCCATGGTTATCCGATTAATCATTAAACAAAAGTGAAACACACCACGATAATAAACTTTGGGTTTGATGTTAAAATCAAGTAATATTAATTTCCTTGTATTTTTAAAACAAATTGCTTTAATAATACTTAAATTACCAAAGCAGCTACAAAAGTAAATATCCCTCTACATCCATACAGTACGGGTAGGGAAGAGAACTGATCCTATAGATCTACATCCATACAGTACGGTTAGGGAAGAGAACTGATCCTCTAAAGGAGGTTGTGTTTTTTGTGTTCACTGTCCATGTTGGATTATATTACGTCAGCAATTTGAGAATATTGTTCAGCACAGCTGAGTTAAACATTGTATGAAATCAACAATATATATGCGTGTATGCCTGGAAGCCATTGTGCTAAATATTAGACATAAACGTATTTTTACAAACCACCGGTCATAAGCTCGAATCTTTCTAATGGTTTTGGATAAAGAAAACTGTATGTTTAGTTATGTTATATAGTAAGTGCACTTCTTCAATAAAACTACCTTAAACGCTTTGTTAAATGTAATCTTTATCTTTTCCAAGATGAGTTTGTTTTATATCTCTTCACGAAAGGAAATACAAAATACTAAATATGATGAATTCTAAAAAGACTAATGAATAGCGACAAGTTTTAATGATCATAATAACGACAAGAGTTTATTACACTTCAGTATTAGTTAACATTACTAATGTGTTTTAGTCTGTAAACGTTTTAACCTATTCTTCAGTAAGATTCCTTTACTGTCTATCCAGATGAAGCTTGTTACAGAAGTTAGCACGAAAATATGACTATATGTCAGAGTTACAGGCACTAGCTACGTACACAGAAACTAATATCGTGCTACCAAACTATCAAGTAAACCTTTCTTTAAATGATTCATGAAAATAATACTATATATACGTCAGATTTAAAGACACTAGCTACGTACACAGAAACTGATATCATTCTACCAGCCTATCAAGTAACATTTTCTTTAAGTCAGTCATGGAAATAATACTGTTACGTCTCTGGTCGTTCCTTTGTTAACTTTCCGTATAAATTCTTTTCGAGAAACTTCAGCGATACAAGTCCTTTCTTAAATAAAACTAGTTTATTCTTTCTCAACTCAACTTTGCAATACACTTAATTTCCACAGTCACTTTAACTTAAACACACGCTATAATTCACAACGATTTACACACTTTACTTACGGCTTGACTCGATTATCTGTCTTTATCTCCCTGTCTGCTATTCAATTATTTATGCCGTCACTTCCCGCCGGTCTTATATATATACAAAATAGAGGGCGTCTAGCAAACACTCGAGCCTTCAGGAACGTTCGAGATACTCATTACGTGTTACCAGAGTCACGTGACATCCGCTGTCGTAACAATACTATACGTCAGAGTTAGAGACGCTAGCTACGTACACAGAAACTGATATCATTCTACCAGACTATCAAGTAACCCTTTTCTTTAAGCTATGTTTACAAACTAACATGAAAGTTTAAAGTAAACTGACAGAAATTACGTGACTCCATGTTTTATGTGGACAGATGGAAACAGGAGTGAGATATCTAAAACAAACAAAAACAATACCCGTTATGTCACAGTAAGACCAAACTATCTGGTCTCTGTCTTTCAAAATTAAAGCTTTTCGTGTTGTATATGAAATCTTCAACCTAAACGGCACTTTGTGTGTACATGGACTAAATAGCCAGGTGTGAGGCCCCAGTAGTTCAGATAAGTCGTCTCTAATTTTCAGATACTGACCAAAATGTAAGCAGCCAGCCAACATGAGGGCACTTCGAACCAAAGTCCGACACGCTAAGCATTAGGCTACGCCGGGCCACCTTGTTGTAATCTAGGTTCTGCGTCATAGTATTCACGACGAACGTGTTTACCGTAATATGTCTGAGATGTTTTCATCTGTATAACATATTTGCTGATTTTAGTTGTTTTAACAACAAACAGGTGGTAACATTATACACTATCAATGTGTGTGTATTTTTTTACAGCAAAGCCACATCGAGCTATCTGCTGTGTCCACCGAGGGGAATCGAACCCCTGATTTTAGCGTTGTAACTCCGAAGACTTACCGCTGTCTCATCGGGGGACTACAGTATCAAAACAATACAATATAAGACAATGAAAACAAAACAGTCAGAGCCCCATGTGTTTCAAGATTTTCTTAAATCCATTTTTGGAAAATCATTTTAAGACATTTGAATCACGTGTTCTCAGTTAGACACTATAGCGATTCTATATCCCACTATCTGGCAGACTAGGTATATATACAGGAAGTCAGGTATTGTTTCACAATCTTGGACTCTTAACAGATTATAAGGTTAAATACCTTGCACATCTTCCTTTTAGTATTGGTTTTATTTTAAAGAAGCCTATCATGGAAATACAAAATAATTTAGAAAAAACTCACATGGCACGTGGTTCAAAGTGAAAACTGTCTATTTATCTTTTAATTGAAATGTATAATCTTCGGAACTCTTTGGTTTATTTTCAATACACAAAAACAAGGTAACTTTCATATTTAAGTATATCTTTGATTCAAAGACTCATTTTAAACGTATATTTTTTTCCTTCTGGTTCAGCGGTAATTTTGAGAGCTTATAGCACTAAACAATTTTTCTATAATGTTTCATAATACAGAACATATTTATTTTTGTATAATGTTTCATTATGCAGAATATTTTTGTATAACGTTGTTTAGTACAGAATATTCTTATTTCTATATGATATTTCATAGTATAGAATGTCTTATTTTTTAGATGTTTCGTACAACAGAATATTTTTATTTTCTTAATAAACTCAGTAACAATTTCATGGTTAAAAGTGAATCCGTAAATTAAAACGTAAATGAGAACATTCTATATACTTCGTCTAAAACATTTTCAAGTGCTTAATAACTATTTCCCAAATTTAAATCATTTCTCTATTAATTTGATAATTATATATTTTATTTGTATCGCTAACAGCCATGATAAAATAGATTGGATTAGTGGTTAGCGTGTTAATTATTAATATGATCCCTTTTAATACGCAATACACTCTATCATGGTAACAAAATAAAAAGTTTTTTTTAGTTGAATACAGATTTCTGGCCAACAACACCAAATCATAAAAATCTCAGTCTGAAAATAATTAAAATAAATTATTTTAGTTTTAGGCTTAGATTAAATTTATTAAACATAACAAACTCTTAATAGTGAAGAATATTTCAAATATGAAATTAAATTAATGGTTACACCAAACGTCTCTTTGACAGTACTTTTAATCGGTGGTAATATATTGATCTCAGTGACTTCTTAATATACAATACGTCTTAACGATCGAACAACGAATGATTATATATTACATGGAAGCAAAGAAAGTGACTTTTGACAATTTCTGAACGTAAAATATGTCACATTAGTGTAGTCCAAACCTACCAGCAAAAATCGAACTGACGATCCATGGTATACAAAACCAGTGCTATTTTCCTGAGCTACGATGGTTTAAAAGCTATGGACATGTTAAACAATGATAAAGTATAATACAAAACTCTTAAAAACTGAACAGTAGACTATTAGGTAATATAATTTTTAAAGCTTAAATAGTCTTGAAAAACTAGACAATGGACTATCACAGTAAAGAACTTTTATAGTAACTAAATACACGATACCATGTAAAGCAGTCTAAAATAGTTAAAATCCACTATTACAAACAACAAGTTTATATGAAAGCAAGTTATAATACTATCAAGTGTCTTCTTTGTATATTTTCAGAACTCTGAAAGCCTAAAGAGTGGACTAACACAATGAAGAACACTTAGGCTTAACACTAAACTTAATGGCATTGGAAAACAAAGGAATATGGATCAACGTGAGATGCCAGGAGCATTTAGGAAAAGGCCTGCAATAAGTCGTGCCCTATCTGTTGTGAGCAAACTGCGGCATTACGTAACAAGTAAGAATTACGAACACAAAGGTAAGAAAGCTGTTCACGCGTCCCGAGCAACAGCACGTAACATAATCAAGAAAGAACTAAAAAAAACTTGGTTTGGAAAAGTGGCACAAGCTGTTTCCCGACATATCCATCCACTGATCACATACCTCAAGCAGCTGTAGAATGAAATGGTTATTTCTGCAACTCCAGACCAAGTCATACCGGTCAAGTCGCCAGACATAGCGCCTTCTGATTTCTGTGCATTAGAATTGTTGAAACACGTGCTGAGAAACCTTCTTCCTCGTACACTTACATAAATTATGGAAACCAATC